ACTTGAGTCGAAGGGAATCCCCTTCCCTTTGATCCCTCCCCCGCCGGGAGGGGGGAGGGTAGCGACCCCCCCCCCGGGTCAGATACGACGCCCCCCCCTGGGACTCCTCTTCCCCTGGGCTCCAGCCAAGCCGACCTTGAGCAACCTCGTAATTGAGTCGAAGGGAAGCCCCTTCCCTTTGATCCCTCCCCCGCCGGGAGGGGGGGGGGGGTAGCGACCCCCCCCCCGGGTCAGATACGACGCCCCCCCTGGGACTCCTCTTCCCCTGGGCTCCAGCCAAGCCGACCTTGAGCAACCTCGTAATTGAGTCGAAGGGAAGCCCCTTCCCTTTGATCCCTCCCCCGCCGGGAGGGGGGGGGGGTAGCGACCCCCCCCCCGGGTCAGATACGACGCCCCCCCTGGGACTCCTCTTCCCCTGGGCTCCAGCCAAGCCGACCTTGAGCAACCTCGTAATTGAGTCGAAGGGAAGCCCCTTCCCTTTGATCCCTCCCCCGCCGGGAGGGGGGGGGGGTAGCGACCCCCCCCCCGGGTCAGATACGACGCCCCCCCCTGGGACTCCTCTTCCCCTGGGCTCCAGCCAAGCCGACCTTGAGCAACCTCGTAATTGAGTCGAAGGGAAGCCCCTTCCCTTTGATCCCTCCCCCGCCGGGAGGGGGGGGGGGGTAGCGACCCCCCCCCCGGGTCAGATACGACGCCCCCCCCTGGGACTCCTCTTCCCCTGGGCTCCAGCCAAGCCGACCTTGAGCAACCTCGTAATTGAGTCGAAGGGAAGCCCCTTCCCTTTGATCCCTCCCCCGCCGGGAGGGGGGGGGGGTAGCGACCCCCCCCCCCGGGTCAGATACGACGCCCCCCCCTGGGACTCCTCTTCCCCTGGGCTCCAGCCAAGCCGACCTTGAGCAACCTCGTAATTGAGTCGAAGGGAAGCCCCTTCCCTTTCATTCCTCCCCCGCCGGGAGGGGGGGGGGGGTAGCGGGGGGGGTAGCGACCCCCCCCCGAGTCAGATACGACGCCCCCCCCCCGTACCGACCTTGAGCAACGTCGTCATTGAGTCGAAGGGAAGCCCCTTCCCTTTCCCTTCCCCGACGGGGGGGGGAGAGGAGGTCCCGGGGGGGGTCCCGGGGGAGTCCCGGGGAAGTCCCGGGTCAGATACGACACCTCCCTCCCCCACCTTCTCGTCCTTCTCCCCGTTCCCCCAAACCATCCCACAGCCCGTGCCTCTTGCTGCGCATTGCGAACAGGGTCGGCGGCACCGGCCGTCAGGCCTTCGCAATATTATGAAGACCACCCAACAAAAGAGTGAAGATAATCTCCGCCGCGATGACGACGAAACTTACGACTACAACTAAGTTCACGATTGCGGTTACGACTACAACAACGACGACGATGACACCTACAATCGCGACTACAAACAGAACTAGAATCACAACTACTGATTCCTATTGTAATCCAACCCACACTGGAGTTTTCCGCGGGAGAAGAGAGCCCCGAACATTACACAGCCCACCAAACAGTAGAAGGAACAGAATCTTCGTCACGAGGACTTAAGTAGTAGTAGTAGTAGTAGTAGTAGTAGTAGTAGTAGTAGTAGTAGTAGTAGTAGTAGTAGTAGTAGTAGTAGTAGTAGTAGTAGTAGTAGTAGTAGTAGTAGTCGTAGTCGTAGTAGTAGTAATAGCAGCAGTAGTAGTAGTAGTAGTAGTAGTAGTAGTAGTAGTCGCCGCAGTAGTAGTAGGTAGTAGCAGTAGTAGCCGTAGTAGGCGTAGTAGTAGTAGTAGTAGTAGCAGGAGCGGGAGGAAGAGTGGAACGATTAGTAGTAGCAGCATTAGTAGACGTATGAAGAGTAGTAGGAGTATGAGTAGAAGTACGAAGTTGAATTAGAAATAGTAGTAAGAGTCGCAGTTGAATTAGTAGTCATAGGAATAGCCGTAGTAACCATTAAAAGAAAACTAGTAGCACTAGAAAATTGTAGGGGTGGTAAGAGTAGTAGGAGTAGTGGCAATGGTAGAAGTACTGGTAGGAGTAGTGATAGTAGCAGTAGGAGGAAGGTGTATAAGAAGAAATGGCAGTAGTAGTAGTAGTCGTAGCCGTAGCCGTACGAGTACTAGCAATAAAAGTAGTAGCAGTAGTAGTAGTAGTAGTAGTAGTAGTAGTCGTAGTAGCAGTAGTAGTAGTAGTAGTAATAGTAGTAGTAGTAGTCGTAGTAGTCATCGTTGTACTAGTAGTCGTAATGGTAGTGGTAGTGGTAACAGTAGCAAGAATTGGAGTAGTAGCAGTGGTAGTGGTAGTGGTAGTAGTAGTAGTAGTAGTAGTAGTAGTAGTAGTAGGTAGTAGTAGGTAGTAGTAGTAGTAGTAGTAGTAGTAGTAGTAGTAGTCGTAGTAGTAGTAGTAGTAGTAGTAGTAGTAGTAGTAGTAGTAGTAGTAGTAGTAGTAGTAGTAGTAGTAGTAGTAGTAGTAGTAGTAGTAGTAGTAGTAGTAGTAGTAGTAGTAGTAGTAGTAGTAGTAGTAGTAGTAGTAGTAGGTAGTAGTAGGTAGTAGTAGGTAGTAGTAGGTAGTACTAGTAGTAGTAGTAGTAGTAGTAGCCATAGTAGTGTTAGTAGTAGTAGTAGTAGTAGTAGTAGTAGTAGTAGTAGTAGTAGTAGCAGTAGTAGTAGTAGCAGTAGTAGTAACAACAAGTATAACAAAAACAAAAATAGAAGGCGTGGAAGAAGTAGTAGTAGTCGCAGTAGTGGCAAAAATCATCCCAAGAATAAAAATAATAGTACTAATAGTAGTCGCAGTCGTGATCGCAGTAGTACTTGTAATAGTAGACGTAGCAGCGCGATAGTAACGATATTCGAAGTAGTCGAAATAGTTGTACTAGTAGTAGTAGTAGTAGTACTACTACTACTACTAGTAGGAGTACTAGTAGTAGTAGTAGTAGTAGCAGTAGTAATAGTAGTAGTAGTAGTAGTAGTAGCCATCGTAGCCATAGTAGTAGTAGTAGTCGTAGTAGTAGTAGTAGTAGTAGTATAGTAGTGTAGTAGTAATAGTAGTAGTAGTAGTAGTACTAGTACTAGTAGTAGTTAGTAGTACTAGTACTAGTACTAGTAGTACTAGTACTAGTACTAGTACTAGTAGTGGTAGCAGTAGTAGTAGTAGTAGTAGTAGTAGTAGTAGTAGTAGTAGTAGTAGTAGTAGTAGTAGTAGTAGTGGTAGTAGTAAAAGTTAAAATAAAAGTAATAGTACTAATGATGATGTGGAAACGCATGCGGACATTGCCACTGGGGCCTTTGGTGGAGCGTCCAATGGTGCCACAAAACGCTGTACTGAGTGGGGGGAAACGCATGCAGACTCCGCCAATGGGGCCTTCGGTGGGGCTCCCCATGGGGCCACGGAACGGTGTAGTGGGTGGGAGAATCGCATGCGGCCACCACCACTGGGGCCTGCGGTGGAGCTCCCCATGGGGCCACGAAGCACTGTACTGAGTGTGGGGGAACCGCATGCGGGCACCGCAATTGGGGCTTTCGGTGGAGCTCCCTGTGGAGCCACGAACGATGTACTGGATGGGGGAACGAATGCGGACGCCGCTACTGGGGCCTTTGGTGGAGCTCCCCATGCGGCCACGAAGCGCTGTTCTGGGTGGGGGAACCAGGGAAACGCATGCGGACACCGCCACTGGGGCCTTTGGTGGAGCTCCACATGGGGCCATAGTACGTTGTACTGGGTGGGGGAAACGCATGCGGACACTGCCAAAGGGGCCTTCGGTGGAGCTCCCTATTAGCCTATGGGGCCACGAAACGTATGAGGGGTGTGCCAAAGTGCAAGGGGGGCGGCATGCAAACCATGCCACGGGGCCCTTCGGTAGAACTCCCTATGGGGCCACAAAAAAATGTGAGGGGTGCGCCAAAGTGCAAAGGGGGCGGCATGCGAATCATGCCACTGGGACCTTCGTTGGGGCTCCCTATGGGGCCACGAAACCTGTTGGGAGTCTGCCAAAGTGGAGGGGGGGCGGCATGCGAACCATACCCCTCGGGGCCTTCGATGAAGCTCCCTATGGAGCCACGAAACGTGTAAGGGGTGCGCTCAAGGGGGCGGCACGCGAACCATGCCACTGGCCCTTCGGTGGAGCTCCCTATGAGGCCACAGAGCGTGAGGGGTGCGCCGAAAATGCAAGGGGGGCGGCATGCGAACCACGCCACCGGGGCCCCCGGCGGAGCTCCCCACGGGGCCACGAAACCTGTGGGGGAGGGACCAAAGTGGAACGGGGGCGGCAAGCGAACGCAGCCACTGGGCCTTCGGTGGAGTTCCCTATGGGGCCACGGAACGTGCGAGAGGTGCCAAAGTAGACGGGGGGCGGCATGCAAACGCAGCCATTGGGGCCTTCGGTGGAGCTCCCCATGGGGCCACGGCACGCGCGAGGGGTGCGCAAAAGTGTACGAGGGGCGGCACGCGAACGCAGCCACCAGGGCCCCCCGCGGAGCTCCCCACGAAGCGCGCGAGGAGCGCGCCAAAGCAAAGGGGGGCGGCACGCGAACGCAGCCACCGGGGCCTTCGGTGGAGCTCCCTATGGGGCCACAAAACGTGCGAAGGGTCTGCCAAAGTGGAGGGGGGGCGCCATGCAAACGTAGCCATTGGGGCCCTCGGTGGAGCTCCCTACGGGGCCACGAAACGTGGAAGGGTGTGCCGATTGGGATTGGCAGAGGCAAGGATGGGAAGAGGGAGGAGGGAGAAGCTGGAGGAGCGGGAAGAAGAAGAGAGGAGGACGCGGGGCACCGTCTTTTCAAAACGAAGACCTAACTCATCAACACAGGATGGCTGGGAACAAATAGGGCAAGGGACGGCCAAGAGGACAATGAGAGAAAAGCGCAAAGGCGGCTCCCGTGTGCACCCGCCGAACCCCAGAAAAGCACCACGAGTCCTCCCGGCCGTCGGGTGCCAGATGTGTCTCTTGATGGACAAAGGCGGATGGACGGATTCACTCGCCCAACCGCTTGCATCCTCGCTGCTTCCCAAGCCCGGCTCGCCTCATGGACTGCCTGGAGCGCACGAGCACGTGGAACTCCTCGGCGGGCGCGCAGACAGACTCTGCCTGGCCATCGCTCGGACGTCCATTCCCTGTGTTTTTGTCGGTTTCGTGCGTGTTTTTTTGCCAAATGATCAACGATGCTCCTCGATGACCCTCGCCGAGAAAAAATGCACATGTCCGAGCGATGCCAGGCTGCGCTCGATGGCCGAGGAGTGGAAGGAAGCACGGCCATGGCGGTTCGCCGTTCCGCGTGCGTCCCTGCGGGCCTTGACCCACTGCATCACGATCGGGGCAAATCTATGCCCATGCTCACCAGCCTCGAACGTACCCCGATCCCTAAGATGGGCGAGCAAAAAGCGAGGACAATCTTAGGGATAGGCCCTCAAAAACTGAGGGAATCCTTAAGATCGGCATCGAGGTGAGGTGATGTCGAACATAGGGATAGGGATATGTTCCAGGCTGGTAACATACACGTCTGGAGGCACGCCAGCTGGCGAATCCTTGGTGGGCATACCACGGCGGGGAACGAAGGATCTCACCCTGAAACAGAGCGAGCGAAATTTTAGGATCACGCGCTTGAACGCAATGGATAGACTGGCTTTGGAAAGGGCGTTTTGATCAACCTCGACAGTATTCCAATGCATCAAGCAAAACCTTTGCCAACCCATGAACGGCGTGTTACACATGTGTAACGTCAGTTGTTCGAAACCTTACTTGCGTCCTCCTCTTTATCCGCAACCACTTGGTCAAACACTCGTCGCACCCCATCACGCATGCTTTCGCCCTCCTCCTCTACGAATCGAGGAGTGTCTCGGCATGCGTGAGTGAAGCGATGTCAGATTATTATCAACAGAAACATGGGGGCGCGTGGTTAAAAATAGCGTGGCGAAGGACCCAACCATACGCAGCTGTGAATACCGCAATTGTGAATATATTATTCGGTGGCGCTCCCTATGGGGTCACAATCCGTATGAGGGTGTGCCGAATAGTGTGATAGGGTACACAACACGAACGAATACGATAGGTCTGAGTATGAAAGCTTGAGCGCGGGCGAGTCTAAGCGCGAGTGAGTCTGATTATGAATGAATATGCGCGCGATTGAATCTATTTGCATGACTGCGAGCATGGAGTCGCCGAATGCACATGCATACGATTGTGAACGGTTTGGGTCTGCCCGAGTGATCAGAACTCGTGACAGTAAGCGTAGCCTCCGCAAAGAGTTTTCCTGGGAACCCCGACGGCAGCGCCCGCGCCCCGCGACGCCCATGTCGGCACGCCCCACACGAGGATCGCGCCCGCTTCCTCCCCTCCTTTTCCTTCCTCTTTGCCCGCGCACTCCAAAGTTCAAGGCTGCGGGGCGCCGCGCTACGCGCAGGTCGGACGTCGACGACGGACCACGACGACGACGACGAAGAAATCGGCCCTAGGGAAGCTGTCGGGACCACCAGCTCTCCATGGGGCCACGAAGTGAATGAGGGGTGTGCCGAATTGGGTGTGCGGGACGCATGCGGCCGGCGGCACTGGGGCCTTCGGTGCAGCTCCCTATGGGGCCACGAAACGTGTGAGGGGTGTGCCGACTTGGGTGTGCGGGACGCATGCGGGCGGCGGGGCGGCACTGGGGCCTTCGGTTGCCGAATTCGGTATGCGGGACGCATGGGGGCGGCGGCTCTGGGGCCTTCGGTGGAGCTCCCTACGGGGCCACGAAAAGTCTGAGGGGTGTGCCGAATTGAGTGTGCGAGACGCATGCGGCCGGCGGCACTGGGGCCTTCGGTGCAGCTACCTATGGGGCCACGAAACGTTTGAGGGGTGTGCCGAATTGGATGTGCGGGACGCATGCGGCCGGCGGCTCTGGGGCCTTCGGTGGAGCTCCCTATGGGGCCACGAAACGTGTGAGGGGTGTGCCGAATCGGGTGCGGGACGCATGCGGCCGGCGGCACTGGGGCCTTCGGTGGAGTTCCCTATGGGGCCACGAAACGTGTGAGGGGTGTGCAGAATTGGGTATGCGGGACGCATGCGGCCGGCGGCACTGGGGCCTTCGGTGGAGCTACCTATGGGGCCGCGAAACGTATGAGGGGTGTACCAAATTGGGTGCGCGAAACACATGCGGCCGGCGGCACTGGGGCCTTTGGTGGAGCTCCCTATGGGACCCCGAAACGTGTGACGACTGTGCCGAATTGGGTGTGCGGGTGACGCATGCGGCCAGCAGCACCGGGGCCTTCGGTGGAGCCCCCCTTTGGGGCCACGAAACGTGTGAGGGGTGTGCCGAATTTGATGTGCGGGACGTATGCGGCCGGCAGCACTGGGGCCTTCGGTGGAACTCCCTATGGGGCCACGAAACGTGTTAGGGGTGTGCCGAAATGGGTGTGCGGGACGCATGCGGCCGGAAGCACTGCAGCTGTGGGTTTCATCGTCAATGGAAATCCCCAGAAACACGTAACGCGTGAGGGGTGAGCCGAGATGATACCACTGGGGTTTTCGGTGGAGCTCCCTATGGGGCCATGAAACATGTGCGGGGCCTGCCGACATGGGTGGCGGAAACGCATGTGGGGGCCGCCACTGGGGCCTCCAGTGGAGCTCCCTATGGGGCCACGAAACATGCGGGGGGGGGGCCAGGATGGGTGGCGGAGACGCATGTAAGTGCCGCCACTGGGGCCTTCGGTGGAGCTCCCTATGGGGCCACGAAACGTGTGAGGGGTGTACCAGATGCGTGGCGGGGACGCATGTGAGCGCCGCAACTGGGGCCTTCGGTGCATTGCCCTATGGGGCCACGAAACGTGAGGGGTGCGCCGAATTGGGTGTGCGGGTGGCGCATGCGGCCGGCGGCACTGGGGCCTTCGGTGGAGCTCCCTATGGGGCCACGAAACCTGTGAGGGGAGTGCCGGGATGGGTGGTGGGGACGCACGCGGCCGGCAGCACTGGGGCCTTCGGTGGAGCCCCTTATAGGGTTACGAAACCTGTGAGGGGTGTGCCGAATTGGGTGGGTGTGGGTGACGCATGTGAGCGCCGCCACTGGGGCCTTCGGTGGAGCTCCCTATGGGGCCACGAAACGTGTGAGGGGTGTGCCGAATTGGGTGTGGGTGACGCATGCGCATGTGCGCGCCGCAACTGCGGCCCTCTGTGCAGCTCCCTATGGGGTCACGAAACGCGTGAGTCAGTCAGTAAGCCAGGCGCCAGGCAGCGGCGCATCGGCAAAGAATCGACAGGAGCACGATTGGCTCACAGATTCCATGAAACAGATTAGCAGGAAATGCAACAGCACTGCAGACCTACACTCTATTAGGGCCGGCCCGGCGCACGCACATAAATTCGCACGATGACCTGCATGCCTGCCAAACGGAAGCGCTGGGGGGAGGAAAGGAGAGGGGAGGGGAGGAGAGGGTGGATATTATGATACGCATAACTTGAGGTCTGCACGCGGCCTGCGCTTTAGCGGGCCCCCGGGACACCAACGCGTATACGATTAGTGGGCCAACTTGTACACACACTGAGCCCATTGCAGCTTAGGGCGACCGCGCTTCCGGACCAAGTGCCACTGTCTTGGCGCAGTGCTCCCTGGCTGGCAAACCAACTGCTTCAAAAAGTTATCGTCGGGCAGGCTGGAGATCTTGTCGTAGGCTTGCACTTGCCTGGTACGTAATGTCTCACTCAGGAGATCAGCTTGAGCAAGTGATATAACTTCGGCGTTGGACACCCGAGAATAGTAAGCATGCTGGATCCGCAAGATTTGTCGGAAACACGATGCTTGGAAACTGTTAATTATGTTGCGGTCTGCTTGCAATATCCATAAAGATTCCAAGTTGTACAAGAGTTTAGGCACCACAATACCGTCAAATAATCGGAGCTTCCGGGACTTACTGATACCAGCATGGGCCCAACACTTGTGCAACAATTTGAATGTCCTCCTGGCTTCGCCTAAACGTCTCGTAACCTCAGGCTTGCTCTCCGCACCGCTGTGCAATAAACCACCCAAGTAGACGGCTTGCTGAACATTCTTGATCGGCTGCATGTGAGGGTCGCGCACCACGCCCTGATTGTTCACAGTCATTGCGACGGTTTTGTCCCAGTTTAAGTCAAGGCCGCATTGTTTACCCACCCGAATCGTAAGATCCAGAAGGACCTGCAGCTTCAGCGGATGCGCGCTCATGAGCATCGTGTCGTCTGCGTACAGTATGTCATTGCATACCACATACGCCGGCTCTTGAACATCCATTGACATTGCCTTGTACAGCTTGTCAACGTCGAAGAACATTACCGTCTGCATGATGATGAACAGGTAAGGAGAAAGAGGGCATCCTTGTGCTATTCCTGCCCGCTGTTGCCTCGTAGTGGAATCCCCCGCCGGATCTTTTAATAGAAAACACGCCGCGTCCTATATATATACTTGCAATAAGGGATAATAGAGGCCCAGGAATACCAAATCTCGCCACTGCCCGTATCAGCGCGTCGTGTTTGATGCGGTCGAAAGCCTTGGCCCAATCAAGAAGGACAGCGATCAAACCAGGCTCTTTCGCGCACTGAGCGGCGTCTATCATTCGGCGTGCTATTGAAATTGCATCTATAGTACTGCGCCCTGGTCTGAAACCAAATTGAGTTGGTCGGATTCTGCTCTCGGCCCCTCCCCGTTGAAGTCGTTTCTGGATCATCCAGGCCAGCACCTTGTAGCCCACCGGAATTGGGGCGGGACGCATGCGGCCGGCGGCACTGGGGCCTTCGGTGGAGCTCCCTATGGGGCCACGAAACCTGTGAGGGGAGTGCCGGGATGGGTGGTGGGGACGCACGCGGCCGGCAGCACTGGGGCCTTCGGTGGAGCCCCCTATAGGGTTACGAAACCTGTGAGGGGTGTGCCGAATTGGGTGGGTGTGGGTGACGCATGTGAGCGCCGCCACTAGGGCCTCCGGTGGAGCTCCCTATGGGGCCACGAAACGTGTGAGGGGTGTGCCGAATTGGGTGTGGGTGACGCATGCGCATGTGCGCGCCGCAACTGCGGCCCTCGGTGCAGCTCCCTATTCGGCCACGAAACGTGTGAGGGGTGTGCCGAATTGGGTGCGGGACGCATGCGGCCGGCGGCACTGGGGCCTTCGGTGGAGCTCCCTATGGGGCCACGAAACGTGTGAGGGGTGTGCAGAATTGGGCATGCGGGACGCATGCGGCCGGCGGCACTGGGGCCTTCGGTGGAGCTACCTATGGGGCCGCGAAACGTATGAGGGGTGTACCAAATTGGGTGCGCGAAACGCATGCGGCCGGCGGCACTGGGGCCTTTGGTGGAGCTCCCTATGGGACCCCGAAACGTGTGACGACTGTGCCGAATTGGGTGTGCTGGTGACGCATGCGGCCAGCAGCACCGGGGCCTTCGGTGGAGCCCCCCTTTGGGGCCACGAAACGTGTGAGGGGTGTGCCGAATTGGGTGCGCGGGACGCATGCGGACGGGAGCACTGGGGCCTTCGGTGGAGCTCCCTATGGGGCCACCAAATCGTGTTAGGGGTGTGCCGAATTAGGTGTGCGGGACGCATGCGGCTGGCAGCACTGGGGCCTTCGGTGGAGCTCCCTATGGGGCCACGAAACGTGTGACGGGTGTGCCGAGTTGGGTGTGCGGGTGACGCATGCGGCTGGCGGCACTGGGGCTTCCTGTGGAGTTCGCCACGGGGCCACGAAACGTGAGGGGTGTGCCGAATTGGGTGTGCGGGACGCATGCGGCCGGCAGCACTGGGGTCTTCGGTGGAGCTCCCTATGGAGCCACGAAACGTGTGAGGGGTGTGCCGACTTGGATGTGTGCGGGACGCATGCGGCCGGCAGCACTGGGGCCTTCGGTGGAGCTCCCTATGGGACCCCGAAACGTGTGAGGGGTGTGCCGAATTGGATGTGCGGGACGTATGCGGCCGGCAGCACTGGGGCCTCCGGTGGAGCCCCCTATGGGGCCACGAAACGTGTGAGGGGTGATGGTGCTGATGACGGCGATGATGATGACGATGGTGATGATGACGGGTGAGAGGAGGAAGGAGGGGTGGAGGAGGAGAAGGAAGGAGGACGCGGGGCGCTGTCTCTTCAAAACGAGGACCCATTCATGGTGTCTCCAAGGCGACCGTGCAAGATTTGAGGCCTTGGTTTATTCGCAGCGTTACTCCGACCGCCCACAATCACCAAGCGACGCTAAGTAAAGCTGACAGAGGCCCCAATCACCCCAATTAGCAATACAGACTTGTAGAAAAAGAACTCGCTGTTGTATTAGAAATACGTAGCACCCCGCAATTGCGGATAAGAGTGAGGGGGCGGGCGCGGGCGACGCGGGCGTCGTCGAGCCGGCGGACCTCGTGGCCCCCACCTTCCTTGTCGATGGCGCTCTCCTCCACCTCCTCCTCCTCCTCCTCCTCCTCTTCCTCCTCCTTCTCCTCCTCCTCTTCCTCGTCCTCATCGTCATCGTCATCCTCCTCCTCCACCTCGTCCTCCTCCTCCTCCTCCTCTTCTTCCTCGTCCTCCCTCTCCCCCCCTCGTCTTTTCATCATGGTCCTCCCATTGTCGTCCTCCCCCTCATCGGCCTCCATCATCGTCCTCCCATTGTCGTCCCATCATCATCATCCTCCCCATCCTCCCCCTCCTCGTCCTCCTCCTCCCCCTCCTCCCCCTCCTCCCCCTCGTCCTCCTGCTCCTCCTCCTTTTCTTTTTTCCACGTTCTCCTTACATCCTCTCTTCTTCCACGTTCTCCTCGTCCCCTGTTTACTCATCCTGCCTCCCCCTCCTTTCCCAAGATAACTGCAACGCAATCTTTTTTCCCACTTTATGCTCCCCGCCTTCTCTGATCAAGGCAACTCGCCAGGGCAAAGTTGCTGGACGGGCTGGCGTGGATGTGCGGGGCGTGAAGAGGTCCTTGCGGGCTCAGACGGCATGCAAGAATCCGCCGCCGCGCTTGTGCGGCATTGGTTTGTTCAGTGAACGTGGTTTAGGTCGCGGGTGGGTCGCGGGCTCTCCACCTCCACCTGGAAGGAATGCAAAAGCAGCCCGCCGCAAACGCCAAAAAAATGGTTCGTACACGGAACGAGGTTTGGGCCGCGGGTGGGCCGCGGGTTCTCCACAGGGAACGAATGCAAAGGATGCCCGCCGCAGGCGCCGAAAATGTGGTTTGTACCCTGAACGTGGTCGCGGGTGGGCCGCGGGCTCTCCACCTGAAACGAATGCAAAATATGCCCGCCGCAGGCGCCGAAAAATGTGGTTTGTACCCTGAACGTGGTTTGGGTCGCGGGTTGGTCGCGAGTTGGTCACGGGATGTGTCGCGGGCTCTCCACTTGGAAGGAATGCAAAAAAAGCCCGCCGCAGGCGCCGAAAATTGTGGTTTGTACCTTGAACGTGGTTTGGGTCGAAGGTGGGTCGCGGGTGGGTCGCGGGGTAGGTCGCGGGTGGGTCGCGGGTGGGTCGCGGGTGGGTCGCGGGTGGGTCGCGGGTGGGTCGCGGGGTGGGCCGCGGGGGGGTCGCGGGGTGGGTCGCGGGTTGGGTCGCGGGGTGGGTCGCGGGGTGGGTCGCGGGGTGGGTCGCGGGGTGGGTCGCGGGTGGGTCGCGGGTGGGTCGCGGGTGGGTCGCGGGGTGGGTCGCGGGGTGGGTCGCGGGTGGGTCGCGGGGCGGGTTGCGGGTGGGACGACGACAACAAACAACAACAACAAACAAACAACAACAACAACAACAAGAATCCGCACCGCGGAATTCCACATCAGCCACGCACCCAGGGACAGTGAATGACCGTTCGGCCCCCTCACTCTGATGTTTATAGTTGTTTCAATATCGAACTTCTTGGGGTGTTCATGCGCCCGCTGCGTCCGCGCGTTCGGGCCGCAAGGGGCGGAGAACGTGCGCTTCGCGTTGGTCTACTTCCCTCCTGACAGGCGCGCAGAGACACTCGGCGAGCCGCCGCTGGCCCCGCCGCCTGCAGACGACATTCCCACACACTGGGGAGGGGACATCAACATGCAGTGGATTCACCTAGGGGAGGCAAAATGGAAGACGCGACGACCTGGGCCCCTTTCATGCCAATAGGCACGCCCACGCCACCGCCATGGAGGGAGCCACCCGTCTGGACCGCGACGGGGACTCGCAAATCGACGCGGTGGCTGGGGCGCCCGCCAAGTTGAAACAGACGGCGGCGGCGGCGGTGATTAGCACCGACGCCCAGCCGACTGCTGAAGGGCGACAAGCGCGACGCAAGCGGCACCGCTGTAACGGAGGGGCACAGCAACGCCGCCGATATAGCGGGGCGCTTGGGCCGAAGAGGCTACATACAGGAGAGGAGGAGGCGAGGGAAATGAGGCGCCCCGGCTGGCGGGCGGTGCCGACACTGGTATAAGCTAGAAGGGGAAGCAAAAGGGAAAACGCGGAAAAGGCAAGCGGAAAGGGTTCCTCCTTCTCATTTTCCCTCCACCCGACGACGACGACAGCGCCGACAACGACGACGATGACGACGGCGAGCACGAGGACTGGGACGCGGACGACGGACGGTGACGGCGACGACGACGCACTGCAGATCACCCATGCGGGGGGGCTGCTTCGGCCCGCCGTGTAGTCTACGACGACGACGACGACGACGACGACGACCACGACGACGACGACCACGACGACGACGACGACGACGACGACGACGACGACGACGACGACGACGACCACGACCACGACCACGACCACGACCACGACCACGACCACGACTGCGGCACGTCAGTAATCATCATGGGAGGGGGTTAACTTCGCCACGGATGTATACGATCCCAACAACAACCGATACACACAGGGCAATCGATTTGAGGCTGCGACCCATGGCGCGCGCGACGAAAAAAATGTTTCGCGCCCCGCGGAGTATCTTCATCAGCCCCTGGGGGACGGCCTCATATGTTAATCACAAGCTGACGTCATACTGTGTTTTCCCAAACTATTGCCGCCAAAACGCACAGCCAGAGGAGGAGGGACGACGACCCAAGAGGTCCTGGCGGCTCAGCGCCTCGAGCGCCAGGGCATCCCGCGCCGGCGCGCACCCCACGCCGCCGGGGGCGGCCCGCGCCGCGGGGGGGTGCATCCAGCATCTCGCGTCCTCGGCGCAACGCTCTTCGAGGTGGGGAGCGCATGTCCAAGTGCGGGATGGGAAAATGACCACAGCCACTGCTTCTTGTTTGCGCCGCCTTCCAGCCGGCCGAAAAAGAAGCAGTGGTTGTGGTCATTTCCCTGGTGCCAAGCTTAAGGAAAATGGCCACAACCACTGCTTTGTTTCTGTTGGCTGGAAGGCGGCAACAAAAGAAAAGCAGTGGCTGTGGTCGTTTGCAAGTCCCGTACCAAGGTCCCAAATCTCCGACGGTACGGTTTTTCCAACGGGGGCATTGTTCCAACAGGCCCCAGGGAAGGGGTCGGGACCCCTGGGCCGCTCATCGAAGAATCAGATAGGAGCATGTCTGGGATCGAAGGTCGCGTTTCTGGGGCAGCCCTTTCGGTGTTTTCTCATGGGCTCGCGGGGGGGGGCCCTCGTCGCCACGGCCAGATCTTCCTCGCAATCCTGTCTGGGACGTGCCCAGGAGACGTCCTGGAGTTGATCATTGAGCGGAGGGAAGCCCTGGGCATCTTCTGGCGGAGTGTCATTTTGATTTTCCTGGCGTTTTTTCCCAACATGTCGGCCTCTGGGGCAGTCTTTGCGCCCTGGCCGGGTGCGTGCTAACATGGATGATGGATGCAGGGAACGCACCCCAAAACCGTGAACCTGTCATCGCTCGGACGTCCATTCCACGTGCACTTTTCGGTATCGTGCGTTGTTGTCGCAGGGTCCGCACCCCCTTGGCTCAGGCCTCCCGCTCAAGCCGCAAGCGGGCCCCACTCGGGGTCTCCCGCAACCAAAGGGGGCGCCCGTACGCAATAAAGGGGCCCTGGGACACACAAATAAATACACACAAACAAAAATCTTCCCCATATTTTCACACATTTGCTGGGCTTCTGTCTTCCCCCCCACTCCCTATATTCTCCCATATTTTCTGGGGAATCGAGGATTCATTGTGTCTGTGTGTTTCTTTTCCTCCTGACGCACGCAAGGCCGCCCGGCCCCCGCGGGCGCCACCGCGCGCGCGCCCCCGCCGCGCGCCGGCGCTGCTGCACCTGGCCGCCCCTGGGCCTCCCGCGGGCACCCCGCCCGAGCACCCCCGAGGCGCCGGGCTCCGCGCGGGAGGGCGGCCGGCCCTGGGGGAAAGAAAGGGATAGGAAGGCACCAACTATACACCAACACCGATCCTGGCCAGGATCACCCTGGGCCCAGGATCGGTGTATACGCCCTCCTGCCTTGCGCAAGAAGGCATACACACCGATCCTGGGCCCAGGGTGATCCTGGGCCAGGATCGGTGTTGGTGTATAGTTGGCGCCCTCCGAATAGGGGACGGCGAGCGAGTGGCAGGCTGCCGGCCTCAACCAGCACGCAGGACCACCCACCGCCCCAGGAGAGGAGGGAGGGTCGCGGAGGGGGCCACGGGAGAGTTCGCGGACGGGCACTGGCTGATGTCTGCCAGCGTGTTCCGCCTGGGGGCCAGCGCGCATTACAAAACGCACGGCGAGTCCGAGCGCCGCCCGGACACGAGCGAGCCTCCCAGGGATCCTGGGACCTCCTTCTTCGGAAACGCGACCGTCGGGCCCCCTGCTTGGGGGCCCAGCAGTGCAGGAGAACGATGAGGCCAACCCCGAAGCTGACCGCGGCTCCCCGCCCAGGGAAGCCTCCCAGCCCTGGGGCCCCTCCCTCGGAGCGTCCAGGGCCTCAGCGGTCCCTGGCCCCCCCCCCCTGTCCGCGCGGAGCGCCCACGTGCGCTCCCAGGCAAACGGGCCCAGGATCTGTCCTCCCTCGTCGTGCACCGCGGCCGCCGTGTCCGCCCTGCCCCGCTGGCCCTGCTTCGAGGCAGCCCTGCACTTTCATGTCCCGCCCGCCCGACTCGCCCTGTTCCACTTGCCCCGCGTCGCCCGATCGTGCTCGGGAAAGACTCGACACGACAATTGAATGTTCCACCCCTCGGGCTGGGATCACCCGTCAGCTCTGCTTCTGGCCCTGGGCGTCGGTCGCCGCGCTTGTTGTCACCGTCGCCGCCCGTCGCCGCCCGTCGCCGCCCATCGCCGCCGTCCGCCGCCGCTGCTTCTGGGCCTGGGTGTCGGTCGACGCGCTTGTGGCCGCCCATCGCCACCATACTGCTTCTGGGGCTGGGTGGTGGTCGCCGCGCCTGTGGCCGCCCGTAGCCGCAGACCGTCGCTGGCGCATTGCGGTCGCAATTCTGATTGTGCGTAGATTGCGCCACATCGATTGCACTGCATCGATTGCATCACATGGATCGCATCACGTTCACTGCTGAAGAGAGCTTGCACTTACATCACATCGAGTGTTCCTCCTACCTTATCCTTTCTACAAGAATACTTAGAACTCCCCCCCACACCCCCAGAACTAACAGTACCATTTGTTCCGGATTGTAATGTACAGAAAATTCCTCCACATCGTCCATCCTAAAACTGACTTCGCACCATCCCAGGCAGGCTGGTATCGCCGCCTCCTTTGCAGCAAAAATATGCGCGCACTGGCTTGTCAAAAATCATCCGCTTCCAGAAACCCTGGGCAAAATAGGGGACGAGGTGAACACGCGCGCGTCGTCGCGCGCAAAAAAATGCGTTTCGCGCAAATTTCACAATCGAATGTCCCGAGCACATGTAATCAGAACGCACGGCTTTGTAACAAGCGTTCTTTTTTATTATATCAATATAGATATATATATATATATATATATAATATATATATTGGATATATATATATAGCATATATACACACACGACGCTCGCCCGCGCTCTTGCGATGTTTTACAAATTGATGGGTGTTTGGTAAACCTTTTTTTCATAACATGCTACCAAGCGGGTCTCTCGCGCGAGCATATCGAAATCGTTCGAGCGCCCCTGCGCGCGTGCTGTCGCAAGAATCCCTTGCAAAAAAAACGGGCGAAGTGCACCCGCGCGCGTCACGCGCGCGCACGCCGAAATCCTCAAAAACCATGGTTTCTCACGGATTTCAAAATCGAGCGTCCCGAAAACTTGTCAAACACATGGTTCTGCAACGCTAATGTTCAAAAAGACCTGTGCTCGCGCTATTGTGAATTCGTAGGAGAGCCATCCGTTTTCAACATGATCATGAAATTCTGCCAGACGGGGCTCCCGCGCCGCATGTCGAAATTATTCGAACGCGCGCGCTTAGGTCGCACGATCCGTGTCAGATGATACCATGCGGGCCACTCTCGCGCGTCGGCCGCGCGCGCATGTCGAACTCCTTCCAAGACCTTCATTACCGACGCGAAGACCTCGTCATCGTCGTCGGCGTGATCAGCATCGGCGCCGCCGTCACCGGCCTTGCTGTCATCGTTGTCATCATCACCGCCTGCACCGCTACTATCATCATCGTGACTACCGTTGTCGACGTTGTTATGATAACATGCCCGCCAAGGTCGCCGACTCGTACAGAGGTGCCCAGTGGGAAGTGCCCAGCGGTCAGCGCCACCGCGGCAGCTAGCTGGCCGCTGCGCGCGCAAGCATGCGCGGTCTAACGCGGGCGCAGAGATGCACCAGCCAACACCAAGCACCCGTCGCAATGGCCAGCGCACGAGCTTATGCAAACCAAGTTGCGGGTGGGTGGGTGGGTGGGTGGGAGGATTGCGCGAGCAGTGGAGTTGATATCTTCAAGCTCGGCAGAGTGAATTGCAACACGTAGATTGCACCACGTAGCTCACATCACATAGGTTACACCGCACTGATTGCACCACGTAGATTGCCCCACATATATTGTACCATATAGTTTGCACCGCATAGCGCGCGCCACAAATATTACTTAAAATAGCTTGCACCACACGATCTGCACGTCGCCGTATGCCAGACCACACTGTTTGGGGTCAACGCTGGCTGATATTCAGTTTGTCAATCCGAAGTTCGGGCTTTCATGTCTCAACTTTTGTAGATTCATTTGCGAGGCGAAGCCCCAAAATCAATGCACTAACCCCAGATCCGTTTCTGATGACCCCAAAGACACGGAGGCCGAAATCGCAGGGAAGGCGCCCCGATTGAAAAAAACATAAAATCAGACATCTTGGATTATTCTCCGCCCCTCTTCCTCCTCCATCAATTTTACATATCAATCACTCTTCCCTGTCGCATCCACAGACGTGTCGGTAGGGCGGGAAGGGCGTTTTATATGAAATTGCCTGGCCATTTGTGATCATGAACAATTGCAGCAAGTCCGCGCTTGGAGGGGGAGTCATTTTCAAAATTCAATGTGGCTCTCGCCTCAGCTCCGCGCACATTCGTCTGAAAAGTGTGCAGCAGTTTCGAAGATGGAGACCGAATCGTTTTCAAACTGTGGTTCTCGCCTAGAAACACCGCGCACATTCGTCGCATAAATCAGCAACGGTTTCACGGATGGCGGGCGGGCCGTTTGCAATATCTGGCTTTCGCATTAGCCCCGCGCACATGTGTCGTACAAGTTCGCAACACTTTCGAAGTGGAGGTGAATTTTCAGAAGGTGGTTCTCGTCTTAGTGCCGCACACACTCGTCGTAACGATTGCAGCAATTTCAAAGATGGAGGCGGGTTCCTTTTCGAATCGTGGCTCTCGCCTTAATGCCGGGCACATTCGCGCTAAAAGGTAACAACATGCTGAACGAATCGTATGGTTAAAATACCAGAAGCGGCGTTCTGGCACGATTTTGGATAGTCAGGACGAAGCAGTCATGATGATTCGCGGTATTGAGATGCCAAGAACGTTGTTCAAGCACGGCTTAGGATTGTCAGGACGCAAGAGTCACATTGTTCCGCGGGGTTGGAATCCCACTGATGGCGTTCTGAGAAGATGGAACATTATCAGACGCTTGTCTTACAAAGGCAATCCCCGCAATGAAAATACATGATTGCAAGGACATGTGGAAGGAACTTGGGAGGAGGGCTTACTGCAACATCGTTGATGCGTCTTGGGTTCATACCGGTCCTCCATCTCCTTTTCCGCCTGTCGCACCCCCAGACGTGTCATTAGGGCGAGCCGCGCGCCATGCCTGACCCTCGCCACTTCTGACCCTGAAGTTCGACATCTGCCACAGCTTCACGAGTGGAGGTCGGGTGGTTTTCAAGATGTGGCTCTCGCCTCAGCGCCGCGCGCAGTTGTCTGAAAAGCTTGCAGTCGTTTCATGGGCACCAGCAACTTCACGGATGGACGGCGGGTCGTTTTCAAAATGTGGCTTTCACCTGAAAGCCGCGCACAGTCGCCTGAAAAGTTTGGAACAGCTTCAAGAATAGAGGCCGGCTCCTTCTCAAAATGTGACTATCGCCCTACAGCCGCGCACATTCGTAAGTTTGCAATTGTTTCAAGAATTCGTATGGTTGAAGTTCCAGATAAGGCGTTCTGGCACGATCTTGGATGGTCAGGACGCAACAATCGTGGTGACTCACAGTGTTGAAATGCCGAGGATGATGTTCTGGCACGATTTCGGGTTGTCAGGACGCAGCAGTCCTACAACTTCGCGGCGTAGGAATCCCAAGAATGGTCTTCTTGCGCGACTGAAGATTTTCAGACGGTCGTCTTCAATGGGGCACTTACCGCAGTGAACATTCGCCGGCCAAACGGGCCAGAGGCGTGCTAAGATCTCCGGCCACAAGCTTTCTAGCAATATTCTAGATCGCGCGCGCGCGGCCGCCCCATGGGAGCCCCGGAGCGGAAAGCACCCCGGGCAGGTCCTGGCAGATCCCCCGGCAGGTCCTCGGCACAGCCCCGGCAGGATCTCGCCAGAGGTGCCAGACCTCCTGGGCCTCGGGAGCGATCCGGGAGCGGCCCGAGGGGCCGCCCAGATAGGTGGCAGGCCCCACGGCCTGCGGCCAAAAGCGCTCCAGGACGGCCCTGTACGGCCAGAAGGTGGCCCAAGATGCCCCCAGCACGCCCCAAGACGCCTCCAAGAGGCGTCCTAAGAGGGCCCCAAGAGGATAAGTATTTGAAGGATTTCAGCATTCTCGCCTTACCGCTCCCAAGACCGCCCCAAGACGGCTTAACAGCTCTCGAAGCGGGCCCCACAACGGCCCAAAAGGGCCACAAGGCCGCCCACGCGGCCTCCAACGGGCCACGATGCCTCCAAGACAGCTCCATGAGAGAGGATTGCGCACCCGAATCAACATTTCGAGCTTTCTGCCCCAGGATGCCCCCAGGAGGCCCCAAGAGGCCCCCAAGAAGCGCTCCAAAGGCCCCCAAAAGGCCCCTAAGAGGCCCCCAAGAGGCCCCGAGAGGCCCCCAAGAAGCCAAAAATGCCGTCACAAGGCCTCCCCAGAAATCCCAACAAGCCTGCCAAAAACGATTGCCCAGACAACACCGTAGGAGTCTGCGACGAACCCCCGAAACCAACTCCACAGTCACTGCGTCACCTCCAGTGCACCCCACGCACCTCTGCAGGAAAACAGCCCCAGCCCAGCCGCATCGCATTGACAACGATCACTCGGGCAATCGTCAGCGGTGCGACAATGTGGGCCAGCTGAATGAGCGAAGCGATCAAAAAAATTATGGTAGAGAACGTCCGAGGGTTTATTGCAACATCGTTGATGCGTCTTGTGAGGGACAACGATATGGGAGACTGGCATAAAGGGGGGATGCATCGACTTGACATCGGTGATACATCGCCAATAGATCGGCGATAAGTCTCCGATCGTGAATCCGCACCTTTCTAAGCAGGTTGGGGCTATCGGGCCCCTATCGGCGATCAGTGGGCGATTGGGGGTCGATGCATCCCCCGTATGCCTATCCCCCATATCGTTGCCCCTGCTCTTAGGTCTACATTCCTCCTCCTCCTCCTCCTCCTCCTTCTCCTCCTCCTCCTCCTCCTCCT